GATTCTACAGTACTCGACTGGGGATCTTGAACCCCAATAGGCTTTTTGTCTTGCTCTTTTTGTTTTTCTCTTCTTTCCGCGCTATAATCTTTAGTGATGTCGTATACTTCAGCCTTTTCTGCATCAATGGATTCACCAAATAATCTCAATTGCCAATCTTGGAATGTAATACGGTTATCATCCATAGGGTAATCAGAGAATATTTCGATCGCCCATTCACCAATACCTGACTCACCCCAGTGAGCAACAGACATAAAAGTCCAATCTTTAAAACCTGCACCAGAGTGATCTTGAGGGCGGAATGTAGCTAAATCACTTGTAACCTTGTGTGGAGAAATTAATCTAACTCCTACCTTACCTCTTTCTGTAGCCTGAATATTGACTGTTACCGTTATGTGCTCAACTCTCTCCAAATTTACGATTTTTAAGTCCTCCTTAGTGACCTTAATTTTCCTCTTGATCACATTATTTTGTTTTTCAGGAGTAATAGTCTCACCTACTTTTTGAAGATCAGAGTAGTACCATGCTTGAGGTTTGACATTTTTCCAAGTTTTCGCAAAGTGAGCCATCGCATACGCATCGATTTTTCCATATCCATATCTATGAGAATATTTACGGCCCAAAGCAGTTATTTGGTAGTTACCATCATCCTCATTTATTGGAACAGAACTCAAGGCAGATACATATTGAACATCTCTCCACGTTAAGTTCGGATTAGCATGCAATACCAAAGAGTATATACCAGCCGCTAATGGTGCAGCAGCCGATGTACCCCCATGAAGTGCCGAGCATTTCCCTTTTATATCGGTAGTATGAATATGTTCACCAGAACCAGACGAGTATGTAACAACCATGACCGCAGAACACGCCTCTGCATACGTTGGATGTAAACCTTTATAGTCAATTGCACCAACAGTAATGGAATAAATAGAATTAGTATACCCGTCAAAATTACAAGAATCAGCAAAACGGCCTCCATTACCTGATGCAAAAACATAGACAGCACCCTTATCCTTACGTCCTGTCTGAATACCTTTAATCATAGCCTTCTTGACAATAGCATCTGGTTGTGAAAGAGTTCTACCATCATCTGTTGGACCCCAAGAGCAGGAATAGATATCATTGACGTCAAGTCCATACATCATAGCAGATGCTTCTTCCTCTGCAGATATAGTTCCTGATAAAATTCTAATCCCACTGATTTGAGAATCATACGCTACTCCTATACCACAAACGTCGTTCTTAACAGCGCCGATTTCTCCAGCACATCTCGTACCATGGTAATCATCAAATAACCTAGGCTTTGGTAAATTTGTGTTATCATTAAAATCCCACGATCCCAAAGAATTGAAATTATCATGCAAATCTTCACTTTCGTAGTCTAAACCATCATCCACGACAGCTGTGACAATACCTTTACCAGTATTTCCTTCATACCACAATCCGGTGACATTGACATCATGTCCAGGATAAAAAGTATTCACTAAATGCCATTGCTTCTGAAAGATTGGATCGCTAATTCCCAACTTCTCGCTTACCTCCTTAAGAGGCAACTGCGCTGAATCAACAATATTTACATCTCTCTTGGCTTGATTTTCCATCGAAACCTTATACTCTTCCTCGGTAATCGGTACAGGCATTCTTTTTCTCAACCTCTTAGGTGTAAGCATATGAATCGACTTCAAATTCGGGTTGGATACCAAGTCATCAAACTCATCCTCAAACCCTCCAGATCTCTTGATCAAATTTTCATTGTTGGAGTTGAAATTCCCAATAAAACTATTATGTGGATGCTCCTTGTCAATACTAAATACAAAATGGTCGTCTAGTCCACGTACCTGGTGCTCGTATTTGTAACTGTCAGCATACTTGTCAATAAATTTATATAATGGTTCACTGGAGTTCAACGTATCTACCTCTACTATAAAGTAATTTTTCAGGTCGTAATCTCTCTTAGGAATACGGAATCCGCCCACTAAATTGGCTGCCAAAGATATTATTACAATTATTCTTGCAATATGGAGCATTATTTTACTATATTTATACTATTTCGTTTCTTAAGACAAAATCCACCTGTGAATAATCATATACGCCAATTTTATAATGCAATACTATTTTGTCAAATTTATCAATTATTTTCCCTTTTCTGGTGAACGAAATTGGTGTTATCAATAAAGCACAATCTGTTGTTGATCTCTAATACCTCTATTATGTCGAGTTTCTAACAAAAATGGACAATAACTTAAAATCTATCTTCGTTTTTGTTCTTACTAAAGAATTATATTCTGCCACGTACAGAGAGCTTGTGGTTTGATTACATAACCGGGACCTTAAGTATGTCGCGTTTTTGTGTCAATAAAAGTGTTCCATACTAAAGAGTACTAGTGAAGGAAGAGATACCAAAGAAATGCCTATAGAACAATGTTAAAAGGATGATTCCAGTGAAATGATGCTGTGGAATTTGATGGCTATGTTATAATAATGAATATTGATCAAGGTCATTAAATATGATGAAAGGGCCAGAATACTCGTTCCCAGAGCATTTTGCAATCGTTAGCAAAGATCTACACCTCAATTCTGGACAGGAATATTAAGAAGGTAAGAGATAATTTGATATAGCAAGCCCGAGGGAGCAATAATTCAGAGTATATATTATTATGAGAGTAAAGTTAGCAATTCTTAATATAAATCAGGAAATATTGAATATCATTTTTAAATTATTAACTTCATATTCAACTCTAGCTTCAAAATCCTCATTGCTGTAAATGTCTTTTTTGAGTTCTGAAGCTGCGAAGTCGATGAAATATACAAGGCCTTCTTTTGAATAAAGAATGTTAGCTTTTCTAATATCTGTGTGTATGATTCCATTCCGGTGAATTATGTCCAATTGCTTCTTAGCTTTCTCATATGTTTCGCGATCCTTCGGCAACGGAACCTTTTCAATATATCTGAATAAGTTGAAATACCCTATTGCAATATACAGTTCTTCATTTGTAACCATCAATTGCCCTTTCTTTTGACGAATGTAACAACTGTTGAACTCAATGTCCTTGGATAAGATTGAATAGCAATGTTTTTCTTTATGGTACCAGTCATTACATATCTCCCTCTTTTCTTTGCGAGAGCAATGTCTATAGTAATCTTCATTAATGACATGCGGATCATAGACCTTTGCAATTAGAAATTCTTTATCATCGATCGGTTCGAGTAAGAACTTCTTCAAGCAAATAGCTTCTAGTCTAACCAATTGTGTGTTGAACAAATCTCCATTTTGCACCCATACGTAATCACAACTATTAGGCATATCAATAAATACTTTATCTTCCTTGTCTTCTTTCTCAACAGATTCTGAGTCGCATGCCAGAGCACCGAGGCGTTCACTCTCACATTGTTCAGAGACATTCCTGCTCAAATCCTTTCCTGTCCATGCCATTCCCGATAGCTTTAGACGTTCCTCCATCTTCTGAATCCTTTCTCGTTTCGTTGCCATTCTCGAATCTTCTTCCACTGATTTATAAATGAACGATAATAGTGACTCTCGCAACGTAGGCTTAGCTGAATGGCAGTCACGAAGCATGTACCTGATTGGAACTATATTTGACTCATGACCATGTGCTTCTTGTTTCAAATTGAGAACATTGTGTTCAAAAGAATCAAGGTCCAATTTCACAAACACAGACGTATATGCATCCGTTAAAATTCCCAGGTCAGTCTTGAAATGAAGCATATCATATATAAGTTGGTCAATTTTTGCTGGATGGTTCAGAACTACTTTGAAGAAACCGTCATTACAAGTTGACATTATGGGGTCTTTAGTAACTCTTATAATGCAATATGCCTGGTTATCTTTAGAGACAAGTATACCGCTTCTACACCGCTGCACACCAACGGGCTCCAGTTTATACCATATTGTTGGTCGCTCGGGGTAAACTATTGTCCGAACATTTAAAGTAGTATCTAGCACCGAGCATATGGGTTCAACCAAATGCCAGAGATACGCATCTGTAAAGAAACCTTCTAAAAGCCCATCGCGACGAACTAGTTCGTATCTAAAGAACGCAAAATCTGCCAAAGTTTTCTCCAACTGCTTATTCTCAATTCGATCGATGATTTCCCTCACAGTGCTAACCACTTCATCATCCTCCACCTCTGTCAAGTAGTTTGCATCATATTTAAAATCAGTCAACTGTTTACTGTGATCATTTGAGTTTCCCTTATTGTCACTACTCGAACAGCTCCCCACATTCTCTGTTTCATATTCACACATAGGAAGGGACAAAATGAGCCGGAATAGCTTCTTAACTTGTTGTGGGTAGACCTTGATAAAGTCTGTCACAAAAGCCAGATACTTAACATCTGGAACCTTTTCAAGAAAATTGTCTACTTCTCGATGATTTACCTTAAATAAATCATGAATTAGAATCTCATAACAAACTGTCAAAACTCCCCAGCATGGATAAAAATCACGATAATCGTACATCTCTAATTCATCCTTAATAAACTTACACATTGCAAGATACAAAGGATGGTCAGAAACCAGGTTTCTCGATATTTCAGTCATAGTTGAGTCATTTAAATAAATTATTCATAAGAACCCAAACTCTTATATATATATAGATCTTGAATTATTTTATGCTAAAAATATTGTAATGACGGAATTATTGTAGGCTATATATCCTTGGCAAGCAATTGGAAAGTATTAGGTTTTTCTGAATGATATAATAGACGGAGGCGTTAGTCAAGAAGTGCTGTTTCAGAGTGTTTTTATTATGCTGCTAGAGTTAAGTGCGGCATAAATTAATCTGAACCTGAATCAGTATTCGAAACAACTTAAACTTAATTGGAAGATAATCTTCTTCAAATCAATCAATTATGCACTATTTAGCATAAAATGTTTCAGATTTAATAGAAGACAATATAAAAGGAATATAAAAGGAATATAAAAGGAATATAAATGCAAGAGTAATTAAGTATCATGACTTGCTTACAATGAAGTAGCTATGGCAGAAAATTACAGTGATATAGTTTCACAGCATCCATTGTATCTTGCAATGTGTAAATGTATTGGGGATGAATTAGAGATGTACGATTATCATGATTTTTATCCAGGTTGGGGAGTGATGACAGTGAATTATCGAATTCTAATTCAGGAGTTGTTTGAGGTAGAGAAACGTGAAGTAGCGAGTTTTATTAAAGATGCGAGAGATGAATATCAAAATTTTGTATTTGAGTTAAGGAAGAGCTACTCACGACAAGTTAAGAGGTTGTTCAGGCTCATTTTGTCTCTTCCTATGTGTGAATATGAAATAGAAAATATAGGCAGATATTCAAGTAGTAACAACAGAGGAAGCTCAAATTATTACACTAGACAATTTCCAGATTTCGAATGTGATGATGAATACCTAAAAGAGTTAGAGAACGACGAGATAGTTCACATTGTAAGAGAAATCTTTAATCGAACTGAGAATAAGCTATTGGGGAAAACTTTAATAGAATTTGCATTCCGTAAACACAAATTGATTCCTCGCATTGGAACTCTAGAAGATCAATATAAACTAGCGTTTCATAATTATTTGATTGAGCCCATATGCTCAATGTTGGACGATGCTTTAAACATTCCGACACTGGTTGAGACCGAAAGGCCAGCTGCATGGAGACGACTGGTGCCTGTTGGAATGCAATTACTGACTCGTACTGACATAGTTATTAGTAAAGGGAACCTAGTTTACTGTGTTATAGAGACGAAGAAATTTCCATTATTGCCCGAATATAATGGCCATCCATTGGACGGTATAAGGAGCCTCTTTTCAGACCAGAAACAAATAACGAAGCAGCTCATATGCGAGATGCTTTATTTCAAGACTGACAGGGGGATTCTCACAGATTCGTACACGTCCGTATTCGTAGAGCTAGACCTTGATTCCTTTGAGCGCAATGTCCACAATCTGAGAGATGTGAAAACTGACAATGAGCCAAAGATAATTCCAATCAGGTACATGATTCGAGAATGCCATTCAGCTAAACCTACGTTACGAGAATCGCTATTGTCGTACATTTATAATTCGGTAGAAGAAGATTCGGAAATGGTAATCAAACAAGAAAGGATTCAAAGGTTGGAAAAGCATCTAAAGGTATCAGGNAAGACATTNATNAAAGNNGTTTCTAGTGATGACAGCGATGATCAGTNNGANGGCTCTGGAAGTCGGCCCAGTACAAGAGATACAGATGTGACCACGTTAGGTCAGTCTGAGGGCTCTGGAAGTAGACCCAGTACAAGAGGTACTAATGCATCTACGTTGGGATCTGTTCCTGAAGGCACAGGAGAAGAGAGAGAAAACATGGAGGATGAGATATCTATTGATATATCTAGGATTAGCGATGACCTATACGTACAGGATAGAGATGATTCCAACACACAGTTGATTAGACTAGAGTCTCTATACTTCAAGAAGTCGTTACTAGAACTGGTCGATGGCAGCGAAGTTGTAGTTGCTAAGATCTACGATCCGCGAGCCATGAATAGAGATCAATATAAAACCTATACTTCTGGACAAAAGAGGTATATATGTCATGAATGGTATAATACTGAAAAATTATGCTATTCAATCTTATCCAAAGATACTGAGTTCAACAGTTGCTCTGTTCGGAAAGGTGTTGGTCAAGTTGTGATTACAATGGAAGAGCTGTATATTGCGAAAGGATATTTCAACTTATTCAGATACATTGAAAAGATCGCGTTGCCAAAGGACTTGGAGACATATGAGAAAGCTAAGAAACAATTGGAGATCATTCACCGGAATGGAATCATACACAGGGATATTAGAGAAGACAACATCCTCTATACAAAACAAGGGCGAGTCTATATCATTAATTTCGCACATGCAAAAGCCCAAGTTAATATTTATGATAGCGGCCTGGAGAAAGATGATTTTGATAAATTAAAAGACGTATTTCTATAGTTTTCTTAATCGAAGCAATAAAGGGATTTAATTTTGGTAATTGCAGCAAAGCATATGCTGGGAAAAAGAATAATCAAGCTCTAGTTGTTATCTAGATCAAATCTTGTTGGCTCATAGTGTAATCAATTCACAATGTTATAAATGGTAAATAACCTGCAGCTACGTAATCTATTCTCTTGAATCCGGTTAAGTCGAAACCTGTGCAAAATTGACAAGCATGGCGGACGTGAGTTCTCTCCACGTCTTAATAAAACAAGCAAACAAGTAAGTATGTCCCTTTTCTACCTTTAGATAAAACGAACAGCAAGTAATATTTAATAGTCAAGTTATAATAGTAATATTCAGCTTACATACACAGACCCTCATATTCACCAGACATTATTCCTATCATGCCAAAAATCGAGTGTACAATACGTATGGGTACAGGTGAAACGATTTCGCATTTTTCACTAAAAAAGAAAGCTCAAGATTGAGTAAGATCAACGTGCATTAAGCAGTAATAACATGTCCTATAGTAAGATAAGATCAGTCACACCATACTACACTGTATTAGTAGCACTATCAATATGTATGGGAGCAATTGCAGATGATGATGAAGGACACATGCACCATGATACCCCGGTTGAATTTCATCCCATAAACGGAGGATCGAAAACTTTCCATTGGATTTTGACATTGGCATTGCTACTTTTAATGCCTTCGGTATCATCGGCATTGGCGTTTGGTAACAAATTGCACTGGTCGCTATTTCTTCAGTTTATTCTGACTGGATATCTGGTGGTGGAGTCATTATTTCTTGATTTTCCAGACAACTCGGACAACCATGAAAATAGAACATCAAAGGGTACCAGCTGGTTCCTTAGTTTGTTGCTCGGAGCTACCGTCTTTATGGGAAGCTTTATAAACGGATCAAACTTGGTTATTAACAAGTTCTACCCACATCTATCGACTAGAGGCCAGTATGGCATCACATACAAGATCTATAAAACATTGTCGTTTTTGGTTGTTTTAACCGGATGGGTTCGGGTTTGTATGGCACCGGTAGCGCTATTTGGTTTCTGCTACGGGATCCATACTGGCCAATGTATTGCTCATGGGATTATGGGATCATCATTCATCTTTTACGGGTTTGTGCTTGCATTTGTGCTTGTGATTCCGTGGATTCGCCAGCATTCTAACCCAAACATCAATAGTGATCCTAACAGACGTTCTCAGGAGTTCTACGACTCATCTCTTATGTGTCTTTGGGGTATAGTGAACACATTTACGGAACACAGATGGGGTCGTGAGGGATGGTCGCATGGCGATTACCAACACACTGCCATGGGTATCATTTGGTGGTGTGGAGGATTAGTAGGAATGTGGCTAACAAGAAAGAATAATGCTAGATCATTTGTGCCCGCATTGTTGCTTGTTTTCACCGGCTATGGCATGTCACAACATGCCCAACACTTGGAAATCTCTACTAAAGTCCATGCCATGTTTGGCTTGGCTTTGATGGGAGGAGGTTTTAGTAGAATCATTGAGATCCTGTTAATCTTACAAGATAAGGGCTCCAGTGATTCCGGCAAAATCCTCTCTTTCCAACACATGCCTCCATTCTGTCTTATCTTAGCAGGTGTATTATTCATGTCTGCAAACGAAGAGCAATTGATATTGGTCAAAGATTTAGGTGCTGACCACTCGGCTTATATCTTAGTAGTTACTGGTGCGGCATTTATTATCTACTTGTGGATGTTGTTGCTTTTGTCTCTATACTTACATTTAGTAGGTTATGATGAAAATGGAGAATTGGGCCTTGGTCCTAACTCAAATTATCAGAATATTAGTGCACATGATGCAGAGGAGTTTGAGTTGGGTGATCTTAGTGAAGGAGAGACGGACGAGCCTTCAAGGTCCCCTACTGCCAACCAACAATAGCTTTATTTGCATATTCTATAGAACATTATCAAATTCATCTACTACAATTGGTTATGTTCAAAGATCACCTCACGTGAAGATACTAATTTTTTTTTTTTTTTTTTAGTCAGCTCTATTACTAAAGATCGCAAAAGTCACCATATATGAAAAGAAGATTATAGCAAATATACATATAATTTAGTGGTAGATTGTCTATATTAACGAATAATAATAGATTATGAGTGCTATTTTATCAGCTGATGATTTGAATGATTTCATTTCACCAGGCGTTGCTTGCATTAAACCTCCAGCAGAGAACGTTAATGGAGATACTAATAATGAAAATGGTGAGGTAGATATCCAAATAAATAATGAAGGAAATCCGATAGAAATATCTAGACTAGATGGAACTGCTACGAGTTTATCAGCGGCACAGATATCGCTTGCTGACTGTTTGGCTTGTTCAGGATGCATCACTTCAGCCGAAGAGGTTTTGGTTGCGCAGCATTCACATAACGAGTTGATTAAAGCATTGAAGGAAAAAGTTCACAATAAAACCGATAAGGTTTTTGTGGCAAGCATTTCACACCAGTCTAGAGCATCTTTGGCCACTGCGTATAACTTATCAATAGAAGAGGTGGATAGACTTCTCATCAATTTGTTTATTAATCAAATGGGATTCAGTTATATTGTGGGCACATCGCTTGGAAGAAAGTTATCATTGATATATGAGTCGCAAAATATAATAAGCAAGAAGGAAGAGAAGTTTGAGGGACCTACATTATCGTCTATTTGTCCTGGGTGGGTGCTATATGCTGAGAAAACACATCCATATATCTTACCCAGAATTTCAGACGTAAAATCGCCCCAGCAAATCACCGGATGCTTGCTCAAAACTTTGACAGCCCGTGATTTGAATACAACCAGGGACAATATATACCATTTATCCATTATGCCATGTTTTGACAAAAAGTTGGAAAGTGCAAGACCTGAAAAAGGGGAACCAGAGTCCGCCCCCAACGACGTTGATTGTGTGCTAACTGCAAAGGAATTAATTACATTATTAGATGAACATTCGGATGATTTTTCCTTGTTCCCACCACAAGTGGAATCTATATTATCTGCATCTTCAGTTTCTACAACTGAATTATATACGAAATGTGCACCTAAGAATTGGCCGTTTGTTGACCTTTCATGGTCCAATGATAACGGTTCATCTTCTGGTGGATACGCATACCATTACTTAAAGTTGACACAGGAACATCTAATTCAGAAAGATCCTTCTACATATCAACTCGAAAATTTCAGACTAAAGACAATCCTGGGCCGGAACTCTGATATATATGAATTGCGGTTGGTTTACAAAGATTCAACTGTTGCTAGCGCTGCAATTGTTAATGGCTTTAGAAATATCCAAAATCTCGTAAGAAAATTGAAACCATCAACAAAACAAAATTCAACAGTGAAAACAAACCCGCTCGCTGGCCGTCGTCGTGCTAGATTGGCTTCGAAAACAGACGGAACAGCTTCGTTCAATAATGCCACCCAAGAGACAGCAGATGCATCCAAATGTGATTACGTTGAAATAATGGCATGTCCAAATGGCTGCATCAATGGTGGGGGTCAAATCAATCCGCCTGCAGATGTTCCAGAGAAGGAATGGCTAATAAAGGCATCAGAAAATTACACTAATATACCGTCATACGATTTGTTATCTGCTGGTTCCAATGGAAATATGTTATCGGAACTTATCGAATGGTGTCAAGAATTTTGTAAAGAATTCAATCTTAATCAAAATAGATTACTCAAGACATGGTTTCACGAGGTCGAACAATCTACGGACCCTAATGCTATTTTATTAGGGGCTAAGTGGTAATTTATAGAGTTAACATACTAATATATATATATGCTGTATTTGCAATCAATGGGCTGTAGTGTGCATATAAGAAAAAGAAATAACTCATCTGGACTAGGTGAAATATTTAAAGATAATACCTATTTTCAATAGACAAGGTCGAATAGCAATACTATAGAATATGATTAGAATAACAAGATCTTCTGCTAGTAACTTTGGGTTAAGACTTTTATCTCTGAGTTCGAAATGGAATAAACCATTTGATTTCACTAATCTTAATTCCAATAAATCTGCTGAACCTTTTGATTTGGAAAGTTTATTGGTTAGGGGAAACTCGGGTGAAGGAACTTCAAAGAAATCATCAGCTTTTAGCGGTTCTGAAAAGAATGCAATACCTCATAACAGATTTGTCAATATGTTTGACAAAACTACGCAGACCGGTAATAAACATGTACATAATAACGACGGGAATGAAAAATTTAAGGAATTTAACCAGAAGCATAATAATAAGAAACACAGAAACCAGAGAAGTCATGGTGACAGAAGAAACCATATGGATACTAAGAAATCACCTAGGAAGGCGTTAAGGTTTCAAATAAGTACAGGTTCTGACCAAGCCCAAAATGCTCTTAAGGATTTAATATCGAAGGTACATATGGTGAGCAAATCTTACAAGGTGAAATTTGTAAATCCCCAGAACAATAAGTTAGAGCAAAAACATTTGGTTGAAATTGTGAATGATCTTGACCTTGCTGAAAAGGGGTTGTTCATGGTTGCACCCGCAAAGGAGGGTGACTTACCATTGGTTAAAACGAATAAGGTGTTCGAGATGATTAAGCACTATACAACTGAACTTGCAGCACAGAGAGAAAAGGAATTATTGGAAAAAGGGAGTATAGCTGCACAGAAGGCAATCAGGCAACGGGACAGAGCTGAGAAGAAAAAGTCTGCAACAAAGATTCTTACCCTTTCGTGGAAGATAAGTTTGAGTGATTTAAATACTCAAAAGAAAATGGAAATTAAAAGGAGAATGAACAAGGGAGAAAAGTTTATTCTTTATATTGGAGATAAAAGAAGTTTGTATTCTGCCAGAAAATCGGTAGATAAAGAAGGTGGCATAGTTGAAAATATGAAAGATACGTCTGCAGCGAATGAAGAAGAACTGGAAGAAGTTTTGAACGTTAATGATCCTTCTGATGTAGATTTTGAAATAAAAAGACGTCATATGATCATTGAAGAACTCCAAAACATTTTAGAAGAATGTGAATGCCAATTTGATATTAGCGGTCATATTGATTCGAGAATCATGGTTTCATGTGCACCTCTGATTGCTACGACTAAACCAAACGAAGGAAATCTAGAAGAGGATTCGTCAAAAGAATTGAAAAAACAAAAAAAATTAATGAAACTTAAAAAGCTTGAAGAAAAGAAACAGAAGAAGTCCAAAATTGAAGAAGATTTGGACTCGTTGTATCTGTTCAAAATTGAAGATTAGTTATGTACATATTATATTATTTATATTAAACGCTTGATATTTATTATGCTATACTTCCGTAATAATTATTCTTATTACGACTATTAGACGAACTATCAGTTCTTTGTTGTTGTCTTATCCTATCAGCTCTTAATTTCTTAACTTTATAACCAAACATATGTCCATCAACAACTTCGTCCACAATTGGGTAATTTATTAACTTCTTAACTTCGCTTTGATCTAATCTATAATTGTTAATAACCGAACATGCATTCTGGTAAAAAATTTCATCTTCGTCAAGTAACTCTTTATCGTATGAAATTTCATTCGTATTCAAGACATCGGTTATCGTTGGACCGTTGGTCAGGTTAAATGTTCCTGCCGAAGTTGGTACCGGAGAATCGGGAGGTGTTATATTCTTTGGTGACGAAGGATAAATTCCTCTAGTAGATGTTCCAGTTGAATTCAAAGATGGTGCGTATTGCAGCGTGTTCCCTAGTAATGGTTGATATAATAGTGCATTTGCTTCTGAAGTACTTCGCACATTCGTAGGGTTCTGAACTGGTGATTGATTGTTTGGGAGCCAATGTTTTTGCTTTCCATCACCATGATACCTTAAACCTTGGTTAATCCTACTCATACGTCCTTTAGATTCTGGATGGGCAGTTATAGCTTCAACAGAATCAAATCTCTTATAATCTTTATAATAATCGCCATAGAAGGTTAATTTAAAATCATGAACTAAATCTTTAATGCCAAACATATCTTTGACAGCATAATAGAACTCCAATCTCCCATTTGGTATTGCTGAAATAGTGAAAGGTTTGTAGGAGAAGGAATGCCAATGGCCAATAGCAAACGCTATTAATTCGACGCAAAGTAATGCGTTTTGAATATAGACACCAATATTAGTATTATCCCCTTTGGTTGAGGCTGATCCTGGTAATACGCCAGAAAAATTTAGTATGGCCAACATAACCCCTTGCCAGTATGATGCAAAAATAATTAACTTGACACATAAAAATTTGCCTACTGGTTTAAATGGCTTTAAATCGTTCCAAAGCACTTTCCAAAACATAGCCAAGCAATACAATGACGACGTGACGCTTAGGTTATATAGTATGGTAAGCCATAAGTATATCGAGGTTGTACTTACATCATTCACATTATACCACCCTATTAATTCTGTTATTATGGTGCTAATGCATATGACTGGCTTCAACCAAACGTATTGCAAAATCCCTCGCTTAATTATTAAGAATGTGGTTGGGTCAGATATATCAATATCAGGAAAAATGTACTTCAAAATACCAGGATGATCAACTGGTTCCCTCCCACTCGTCATGATGATGATATTTCTTTCTCCTCCTAGCATATCTGTCAATAACGAGAAAAAAGTGTAGATTACAAAAGCCTCATAAACTTCTCGTATTGATTCCAACAAATATCTATTAAACAATGATTCAGGATTCTTTAGCATGGAAAAACATGACAACGCAAAAAGTGGAACGATCAACTGAATTCTAATCATTAGCCTTTGCTGAAACGGCTTACGATAATTCTTCAAGTGCAAAATAATACTCGAAAATATAATAACGCTAGATATTATTGATGAATATCCAGATATTACAGTTACCCAATTGGGTAGAGTTGCCTCTCCTCCCATATTATTCGATATATTTGGCTCCTGTCATATATATTTATAACAAATAGACAGGAATATTCCTATCTGCTTAATGATATGATCACAAATATCATTTCTAATCTCCTGTACATAATGCGATATCTTATTTTACTACAAAATAGCTAATGATAATTCAAATATATACATGCTTAGTAGAACATATTGTACTTACCGTCCGTCATAATGTAATAAAACTAGGCAACACCTGCATCTTTAAGTTTTTTGTGACGTTCTTTTTCCATCTTTATTTTTTGGAGATCCTCTTCAGTTACTAAATGATGCTTGTGATTGTCAGAACTGTGAAATGATCTCGTAGGACCTTCACCTTCGATTGTATGACAATGATCAATGGATAAATAAAACTCATCATTCACAACATCTTTCATAGTATATCTTTGAAGTGGATCTATAATCAACATCTTTTCAATCAAATAACGAGCCTGCGTTGGTAAAAGACGAAGTAACCTGTACGGACCCGTTGAATGCCTTCTATTGGCATTAGCAGAGTGAGAGACAGTTAAGGTGTTATTCATATCATTTGCAAGCTCTTCTGTATCTGTCTCATTAGGATCAGTTATAAATGATTTGTATGACGGGTCACTTACCTTAGGGATTTTCCAAGGAAATCTCTTCAAAATCATGCAACAATACATAATTGCAATAGACCATACATCCACACCTCTTGCGTCGTAACCAAAATTACTTGGTTCTAAAACTTCTGGAGCCAAATACGGATCTGAGCCAACTACACCTCTGGATCTTACTAACCTATAATTTTCGTCTAGGTCGTCCTCAGATGGGGTTTTATTAACTTTTTCCTTTCTAAATTGCACGGCTGAGCCAAAATCAATCAATTTTAGGATACCATCTTTAGTGACCACACAGTTATCCAATTTCAAATCTCTATGCGCCAAACCATTCTCTTGGAAATAGGCCACACCGTTGACAATTTGTTTAAAATAACATGAACATTCCTCACGAGTCATGAGTCCCGACATCACCAAATTGAAAAAATCATACGGACAATATTCCATGACAATGTAATATTCAACTGACATCATCTCACTTTCTTTAATCAACTCGATTGTATGGATCAAGTTTTCATGTCTCAAATGCTGTCCTATTTTAAATTCATTTTTGACTTTTACTTTATAGTCATGTTCATTTTCATTCGGCAATCTCGATCTGAACTTCTTAACTGCAAAAATTTCATTAGGGTCGGTCTTCGAAGTAACCAATTTAACTGATCCGCTTGCTCCCGTCCCCAATAACTTTCCAACGTTCCCATACTTCTTATACAAATCTGCCGAATGATGGGGCAAAATATTAGCATGTTTACTTTTATGCCTACTATCCCCTGTATCTGTGTTTTTAAGCTTTTTAAGAAATCTTTTCAATGATAAATGGCTCAGATGACGACTATGATTCTTCGTCTTTTTGGGTATTTCCTTTTTTGCTTCGGGCTGTTGTTCAACCTTGCGACGCTGCATATGTGGTGGTATTCTTTCATCGGTGTTTGGCAGGCTATCATCATTGTTATTGAACGAGCCATTTGACGTATTAATGGTATTATCCCTTGAATGACTTCTCGAGCTCGCAGAATTCTCATACTCAGTTCCCTCATTGGAAATGTCTCCTGTTTCACTTTGGTAACCGTGTTCTGGTTTTTTATAAATTTGCTCCTGACTACCATTGTTAGGCATACCACTGGGATTATACATATTGTTTTTCGTCACTGAATTGAGAGAACTTGTAGAACTATTTTGGGATGATTGAGAAATGCCCCTCGAGCTCCTTCTTTTCAACAAAAATCTATGTGATTGTGGTGACGAGGTCCCACTCTCATTACCTGCCCTACGATTCTCCTTATTCAACGACGTTGAAGATGAAAATAATCCTCTTAGTCCACTACGGTTCTTCTTAGAATCCACAGGTTCCGAATCAAGCATATATACGGCAATGAAAATTGTTCAAATAGGAGGTAATTACTTAAATTCCTTCCAAATTATCCAATTGTACCTACCTATCGGTCAATTCCGGTTATTAAAGAATTCAACTTGAAATGTAGTCTAGATATACAACGTTTTACTCCTTTGTATACCTATTAGTAACATTATAGAAGACGGGTTTTTGGTCGATCGCTACTCACGTGATATTTTCAGAAAAGCCGTTCAATGAACAGTGTACCTTTATTACCAACATACAATACGTAGGCATTTGCAGGTAGAATAAGGACTATTACATATGAAGGTTATATTCTCGTATAAATTTATATTATATAAAATGAAATTAAGTATTTGAATTTGAATTATTCATGAATTTATCCCATACGCTGGATTTCCGCTTCTTGCTGTCATCGGAATTGCTGCTATTACCAGACAAAACGCTCGAACCAGTAGCCTTCTTCTTTAATCCAGCAAGCAAGCCCTCGGCCTCTTCATTATCATCTTGATTATCAACCATACCCGAAACTTGAGAATTATCTAAACTGTTGCCGAGACTATTCCTAAAATTTGAGTAATCGTTTTCTTCATCTACGTTTTCTATGATTGTCTTATGTACACCCTGTACATTAACCACCGATTCAATAATACCACCAGTCCTGTAAGATCTGGCTTCTTGGTGCTCGGGTATTATGTTCTGCGAGTGCGACGAAGTGTAATCGTTGTGATAATGAACGTCGTAGTCGCTATTATGCGCACCATGATGATGTTGAAAGTCATCAGAGTTTTGATCATGGCCATTTTGGTTCTTATTACGACTCATGATTTCAGACAAATCTGTCTCTTTCTCTTCGGGTAATAAGAACCTTTGGGAGTGATCATGATTGCCTGTTTCATTCTGCGATTCGGTGCTGAGATTCTTCGCGCTATTTAATGCACCCTCTTCTGTTGCATGGATCGCCCCGTAGGAGGTAGCGTTCTTTGAGGCTACTCTCTTTGGCGGGGGCATAACGGAGTTCTTAACCGACTCCATATCTGGTCTCTTAATTTTAACGAATGACTTATTGAGTTCGAGTGGATTTGAAGCAGGGTTCAAAGGTTTCCAGCTTTTGGTCGAATCAATCGGACCTATCTTTGGAGAATTTCCAGCGCTGCCACTACCGTTGAACAATTTCTGTCTTGACGGAGAGGATGACACTTCTGCAAAGGAATCCTTCAAAGGAGTCAAGGCACTATCATCGAGGGAGTTCCTCTTAGATGCTGATGCTGATTTATGATACAAATTATTTAGGTAAGTGCTTAAGTTTCTCTTGGATAATGGGCCAGGTTGCGTTCTCTTGATATTCTTATTGATATCAATGTAGACGTCAGATTCGTCGACAATTTCTTCACCGATCAATTCTTCAATGACATCTTCTAAGGTTAAGACACCAAGAGATCCAGTTGGCTCACCAGGGTTTTCACTAACCACGATCATATGCGATTTACCTTCTTGAAAGTAATTTAAAATGTTCAAGCACGAAGTATCCCTTCCTGTTTCTGGCAAGGTAGCCAATGGAAATGAAGCCACTGGTAATGCATCTTCGGGATCGTAACTAATTAACACTCTAACTAATAACATCCCAATAAAGTTCATAGGTTCATTTGGAAGATGAATTGGAATACGAGAAAATCCAGCATTAAAGATTTCTTCAACTGTTTTCTCGTCCAATATTGCGTCTGCACTCATAGTATAGACTCTATCCATAGGCGTCATAATATGTGCTACTGGCTTCTCTTTTAAGTCCAATACAGCACTAATAATTGTCACCTCATCTTGGTTTAACCTTTCGACACCCATGGTTTTATGCAAAGTAACTAATGTTTTCAAACCAGACTTCTTGTATACGGTACCATGATCTTCACCTAAAATATGGTCCAAGAGTAACGCACAAGGATATGCAACTGGATACATAACGTACATCAACATTAACACAAATGGTGAAAACATTGCCCCCACCTGTAATCCATACCTCACACAGATAGATTGTGGAATAATTTCACCAAAAATAACAATAGATACAGTAGAGGTGATGACTGCAGGCCATCCACCGCCTAAACATCTGTCCAACACAATCGGTAACGTTTCGTTGGTGATGACGTTCGATAATAACAAAGTAACTAACACCCAGTGTTTACCACGGCCAATCAATTTCAAGACTTTACGTGCGTGGTTACGTTCCTGTGGTTCGCCACTTGTTGCAATAACCTTCAAGTAAACCTCATCTTGGCCCATCAAGCCCAACGTCAACCCAGCAAATACACCCCCTGCCAAAACAAGGAAAACCGAGGTAAATAAGTTCGTGTAGAACAGCTCAGGTGTCATGATCATCGCCTCAGCAATATCATTATGATCGATATCGACGTTTCTTGAAAAAATTGGCAAAGCCTTGACTAAATTTGGAAGTTGTGCAAATATAAATACTAATCTTGAAATGGCATTCCCGCCTGTTAATGAATTCGCATGATTACTTCGCGAAGGTAGCTTATTTTTCGACATATAGGCTTAATAACGTTGTTAATATCTATCTTTAATATATTTCACTGACCGCAACCTTCTCTATTACGTCCTCATCGAATGATAAAGTACTTACGTTCAGAAAACTTCAGATTCTAAAAATATCGGGGTATTGTATCTTTAACTAAGATATATCAAATGTTCACACAAAGTATAGTTTATATTAACTATTTGTTAACTAGAGAGCAGCGGTATAGTAGTTGTTTCTCTAGACTGAATAAATAAATCCAATATCAGTTGTCGTGTATAAACCGAAATTCACGTTGTTCGGATGTATTTGGTCTTCCTTCTACTAGATTCTCTACAGATTGCATTCTTATGCCTCCTGTGGAACGTTTCTTGCGGTCCTTACAGCACTGCATGTTACAGTGGAACGTGCAGCCAATGAAATGAGATTTCGCCTGGCTTCTAATAAGCGATCACTCCAGAACCTAGTACGCCATATCTTGCTACATGCCCACCCTACGGTATCAGGCAGCCTCGAATATACCGGGATGCGAGTTAGTAGCTAGAAATGAGAGGTGACGAGGCGGCCAAAGAATACCTGGAACGAGCATGGTATGTAGCTATTAGACAGCTTCGCGAATGATTACAATAGCACACAACTTTATATCCTATCAGCATGTATAATCATAGCAAAATACAATTTCATAGAAGATCTTGTGCTATATAGATACTAGTCGTAATCTGGTAGAGTATGTTTGATCGTTTTCAGTATATATTCGAAGCGGTCGTAAGTCTATTGCAAAAAAATACATAAACATGACGGCCAATCAGTTATGGATCAATGACATTAAGATGTCTCTCATTTGTATAAGCTCGTCACATGAATGTCAACGGCCCATAATGTAGGGGCACTAGATGAAATATTGGTTTTAAAGTGATGATGAGTTGAGTAGGAGAATAATTTATAAATGCTTACGTAATTAGTACCCGTTCTTTTTCGCCAATTAAACAGACGATATTATACTGAAAAATCGGTTCAATACTTCATCTACAAACTAATAGTACATATATATAATGAGCAATCCATGGGCTAAGAGAGATGCCTGGAGGTACCAAGGGCAATTCAGCCGTTATAACAGATTCAAGAATGCATTTCCAGGGTTCGGTATTGCATTAGGAGCTTTCACCCTTTACGTTGCTTATGAACAAATGTTTTTGAAAGATAAACATCATGAAGAACACCACTAGATATATTGATTCTACTATGGGGACGTTCAGTTGAAGAATCGGCGTTTCATGAATTCTTTTTATGTATACTTATATTTTGATGGGTTAGGCCCGGTTTATGAATGCGTTCAATACGTCCAAATACATATTATTTTGCATAGGTTCAAAAGGAAATGCTGTAGAACTTAATGTTGACGATCGATAATTTCTATTATGAAGTATCTTTCTGAGATTAATTTATGTAAACGAAAACTATGTAGTATTACTATATACAATTGTAGGGAAATGGTGATAGTTTAGGCCATTTAAGCATTGTCTTTGGATTGAGCATTCGAATTCTCTTCGAGCGAAGCTTCTGAAACGTCAGAAGCATCGAAAACTGTCTCCCATATAGATTGTTTGCTTTCAACAACATCGTCTGCACCCATTGAACCGTTCGCAGCTCTTCCGTCCTTGTTGGCATCTCTAACTTTAGTTTTTTCACCTGCAACCTTGGTCCATGCATCAATGTACTCTTGTTCCTTCTTAATACCCCAGTCTAAGTTGGTGGATGGGTAAATCGCACCGTACATAGTGGATTCTTCTTTTGAAACGGTACTGCTCATTTCTTCTTCCATTCTTAATCTGTAGAATTCGAATCTGGCCTGATCGTATGCCTCAAATAATGACATGCTCTTACCATTTTTCTTTGAATCTTGCAATAACCACACAGTTCTTTGAACAACGGACTCACCATCTAAGGGTTTATATAATTGCAACATATGTGACCAATCACATTGGTTGGCCTCATTACCTTCGTTTTCAATCAATGTCTTTGGTCTGGAAAATTCCCAAGGATGTTGATGGTAGAATACGTCTCTTAATTGATCTTCTAAAAATTCCAATTTGGGGACTCTGGAAATGCTATTATGCCTTTGATGTCTATCGTATATATTAGAACGGGTCTTAAATAAGTCTCCACCTTTCTTCTTTTGAAACAATGACCTGCTAGGATCATTCTCTTGTGCTTGTGTGTCGAATTTTTTTGGTTTCTTCGTTAAGTCAACCATTGGTGGATGTGATCCAACAACATTGAACCATGCTGGTTTTTCCCTCAAAATTCCAGCTTTCAAGTAATGGGATGTTCGTTCTAAAACACCTGTAGCCTTCGTTTGAATCTTCATATTACTTAAACCTAATTACTATGCTATGTTTATGGCTTCTATTCTTCTTATTAAAGGTAGAAATTCCTCTCACTTTCTTGAAAAATTTTTGCTTATGTAATTTCTCTATATCAAGTTTTTATCAACTCTTACAATATACTTATACTGTTATCAAAGTAATAACTTACTCATGATTGCTAACAATGAAACGATGGTATGCTACATCCAATGTATCTTCTAGTCGTCGTATTCTACATTCTGCGGTAGATAATTTGTGTAAACGGGCCTTGAAATCTCAGACAAATGATTCGAGTTACCTACATGAGACTGTGAAATCTTTGATAAATAAATATCATGTTCCATTGGCAGAATATTTTGGTATAAACCTGAAACATTATAACAATATAAATGCCAAAGAAGAAATATGGCATAAGCTAATGTCTATGGATAAAACATCTGCAGAGATACTATCAAAAAGACATGATCTACTTACTTTAAAAAATCATCAATACCGAGCTCCCCAGGTTCCATATAATAATTTCCTCAAAGCATTATATCCACATAGGAATAGAGGTTCTTTAAGTCTTGTTTCTCCTGAGGAGGACGCTTCTAACTTTGGCAGTAATGCGATCAAGTACGAGCTGGTTAACCATAATTTGGTCTACAGGTATTACTGCGAATTGCCTCATCCTGCCACTTCATATATGAAACCAAACCATTTAGACGATTTCCTTAGTCGCTTTTTGTATAGGAGAGATTTCATTAAGCCCAACTCATTTTCCTCGTCATATGCAAGGTCCGCAAGTGTGATGTATAGTACATATAATGAAATGTTGGAACAAAGAGCAGAGCATGTTGCAATGTGTACAAAGATTCTCAATGACATGAAGGAATCTGAATTACCATTATCTATACAAGAACAAAATCAATTAATCTTTATGAGTTTTTTCAAGGATCGAGCGGATATTATCGAGAAATTTGAAAATGCCGTCAAACAGTTAGCGGAAACTGGTGGTCAAAATTCATACCCGTTACATGATGACAACAAGTTTGATTGGGATATTTATCAGCTGATAAAGCACCAGTTCAAGGATGAAACCACAAAATTGAATATTGATACCTATAATACTCTATTGTTTATTGCCATGAGACACGATCGACATGATGTCGTGACTGATATTCTTCAAGGCTTGGGCTTGAAAGATATACTCAATCATGAGAAGCATATTGTGAACAAAACGAATACCCTACCAAACCGTGAAACACTTGAACTCCTACTTGATTATTTTTCGTCTCGAGCATGTAAAGAAATGTTGGAGAATCAAGACTCATTACTAGCATTTTCAAAGACTGTAAGCTATTTGGCAGATTCAAGCCATATAACGCTAGATGTCAAAACCATAAATAAAGTTATAAAAGGCCTAACAAATATGAAAAATGTTGAAGAAGCTGAACTTTTAGTTTCAAAGTTATTTATTGATCCTCTGTTCGAAGACACAGAAAAGACATTATTGGAAAAGTCAAACCCAGAATTGGATATATATAAGGCTTTGACATCGGATGATAAACAATTGTATAAGAAGTTATTGAGACTGTACGATTCTCTAAAGGAAATATTATCCTTGCAGAACATCAATGACGACTTAGAGCCTTACAAGCTAATGCCAAATGAAGGTTCGTTTCGCCCATTAATTAATTCGTATTGTTCACCCAATAATGATAAAGCCTCCTTTCAGAAATCAGTCTATATAATGAATGTTCTTGAGAATCAATATGGATTGCCTATAACTACCAGAATATTTTATGCCTTGTTTTCCAAATTTATTGAAATTAACAAGTATAATTCCCGTAACTCGTCAGATTGGAATTTGGAAGGACTAAATCATATTACAGTAAAGCTAATTAATGCTCACGATCGGTCCTATGGGTTCAATCAAGATGCCATAATGAGAAATAAACTTGATGAGTTGGTTCTTTCAGCTCAATTAAAGTCATTTGTAGATAAAACTTTAGATGGAAAGAAATTGGGACATATTCCGAAAGATAGAGGTAACTTTGTTAAGCTTTCAGATACCATAGTCCATCAAGTATGTCGGGCTTACGTTTCAGTACTTAATAATGATCCCACTTTAACTTTATCACAGAAGAAAGAATTTACAGGTACCATTGAGTTACTAAGAAAAGATTTATTGAATGATATAAAAGGTATAAGAGGCTCACATCCATCGCATAAGGGCATTCCAAAGCAGATGGTTTACATTAATGATGAAGTCAACTACCTAAAGAAAGGATTTATAATCGACTTGATAGATCTGACATATTCCATTTAATACACGTGTACATATATGAGCATTATAATATACAAAAGGCCATGAGCTTCCGGATTTCTTATACCATCGCCTCTTTCTCTTTCCCCATTTGAAGGTTTTTATAGAATTCTCTTTTTTGATCCTCAACGGCTGCTTCATTCTCTTCCTTTATAAGTTCATCGATATCGTAATCGTAATTATTCGGGTCGGTATCGATGTCTAGTCTTTCCTTGTTTCTCCTTCTCAAAGAAGAATCTTGCTGCAACCTAAATTTCAATGGAATATCATTAGACGTTACATGTGCTTTCTCCTTGAGCTTGGAGACGCTAACCCTGAATGAATGCGAATCTTGTCCTTGTTCTTTCAACGATGCCTCCTCATCCGGTGGGATATAGCCGTGGTAATTGTTCAAGTAATTGTCTTTATTGTTCTGTTGAACCTTTTCCTTGGGTTTTCTTTCATATTCATATTTAGCTAAACCTGATGAATATGGCAAGTATATTAAAAATGCAATAATCACTATAGCAAATATGATAATAGTTCCAATCATAGTTCAGTGTTCTATTGTAACTAATGTAGTCCATAAGTGGTTGAAAAATTTAGCTTATGGTCCGAATATTATTGACCCGTGCAATTGTGGCAGATTCCATAATTAGAGCCTCAGTGGTATTATATAGCCAGTCTAATTACAGTGAAAGTAATATATCCACATAACGTACATTCAAATACTTTATTTGCAATTTTATTTCTACTTTATAGTTGACAGAATGTTTAAACAGGCATTGAAAGTTTCCCATAGAAGAGTTTTACCCTCCCTTGCTCGTACGACCAGGCTAGTTCCCATCTTACGCAGGCCAAGTCCTAATTTGTGTATCTCCACCAGATCATATGCTCTTTCCACAGAAGGTGAAGCTGTTGATAGTAAGGTAGATTCTTTATCTTTAGGACAATATAATAATATTTCCAATGAATACATGGAAACGTTAGCTGATGAGTTAGAAATGTTATCTGAAGACTATCCTCAGGTTGACTGTGAATTAACACAAGGTGTCATGACCTTATCAGTACCACCAAACGGTACTTACGTTATTAATAAGCAGCCACCAAACAAGCAAATTTGGTTGAGCAGTCCAATCAGTGGACCTAAAAGGTACGATTTGATAGGTGGTAAATGGATCACGTTGAGAGATGGGTCTGCTTTGACAACCCTCCTAGAAGAAGAGATATCTGCTGCATTAGAAGATGAGTTCCACTTCGAGGGCATTGAAAACTAAATTTGTTGTACATAGTCTTTGTTACTGTGTGATCCTGTCCATCTCATCCAACCGATCATGTCCATCTCATCCAACCCTCTGGGACTTTGTAAATATGTTGATGGATGTTAGGAATGGACTTGCATAATGTACATCTTTACTGGCTACATAGTCTAAAGGATATCTATCTGTATAGAAATTTGATATATATTAAATCAAAGTAAAATGCTAGTGTAATTAACGGTCCTTTTCAATTCGAGTACATCCTACTTATTCTACAACATGGACGTTTTGGTTACAATTCGTACTTGATTTTATTCTGGTCGGATGGTCCAATTATCGTGGCTTATGTTTTTCTAACTAGATTCAAGCCATATTATATTCTATACGCTTCTTGATTTTGAATATTTGTGGTTGCAGACGCTTTTTTCTGAGAGCACATCTCTAAAATTGAGATTCGTTTGTACGGAAGAAGGCTACATTTATAATATAATATTCATAGATTGTCCATATTCTCCATATTTGCCTTCTACTATCTACTGGTAATCATACTAGAAGTCTATCAAAAAATAGTATCGAGGAAAAAGGTTGGTGCCGTTTGCAAAGTAGTTTTATCAACACCAGCTCGCATGCATAACTATCATAACTATGGCACCCAATATACGATTAAAAGGACCCAAATCAGCAGGAAGTAAAGTGTCATTTTCCACTGAGTGTCATATTTACAATGGACAGCAAATTCAAAAGTTTAATTTACTGATACGGCTTCCGTCACAAGTACTCAGTTCGTTAGCTTATCCATTTAGTAATCAGAAAGAAACTGGTGGCACCAAGAAACAACCCAAAGACAATACTGATGAGAATATAAAGCATGAAGATGAGGAAAGCGATAGTGATCTTTCTTCGTTAGATTGGGAATTAAATAAAGCACTTTCATCTTCAAATACCCTACCCTCGAGCGAGGTAACATACAAGGCCCCATCTACGAGTCAAGGAACACAAGTCATAACTAAAAATGATACAAAAGAGTCGGAAGATAGGTCTGCAGGTTATAGAACAATACCCAAGAATCTTATATCGATAATAAAAAAAGAGCTCGGAGACTTGGGAGACACGGACGATGATTTGGGTATGATCGAAAAGATGGTGTTTACGTTGAAAGACCCCTTATCCGCTAGCAAGATTGGTTTACCGGTGAAATCAAACTTGTGTCAGCATTTCGAATGTTTTGATTTCGAAAATTTTTGCATTTTTAACAAGATCCCTATGGGAGTCAAAAACTTGATCAAAAAGGATCTAGCGAAACGAAACTTGGACTTGAAAAAATCTGAAAAGCTGTCCAAGTTGACCAAGCCTGGCCACGACAAGTATGGCCATGCCACCAACACCAATGCCTCGTTCATTCACTTCCCGTCATTCACTCCGTCCATAAAAAACTACAAGCAACCTTTTGCTCAACCTAAAGTCCCCACCTACAAATGCCCCGTCTGCAACGTCAGCTTTGCATTAAACCAGTTGTATATTAGTGACGTATTCAATTTCTTCGTCAAAACAACCCCCAAGCATATCGACCGTATTGAGCTTATGGACATGGTCAAGTACAAAATAATCGACGATTCCAAAGCCAATTGGGCCAACACCAAGTCCCACGTCTCACATGAGCCTGAAGACCTTGTTATACTATCTGACGACGACGATGACGACCCTCCTACTGCACATCACGCTATCCACCATAACGAGCACACCCAAGTCGATCCCCAAATTCCAGAATCCACCGATGATGTCTTCAACGATGGCTTGGATAGCGAATTATTACGATTATCCAATCTACACGAGCATGCAACGGACAGCTACAAGGGAAGAGGCAGTTGGGAGGATCCTGTAACTTTAGATTAGTATGTATATATCTTCGAATGTATATCTACATTTACAGTCTCACGTGAATGTTTAAGAACAAAGACGGCTGAACAGGTTTATTGTTCTCTAACAATTGGAATTTCCATATTTCGCTTCTCGTGACTTCAATTTTTCACTTACGTTGCGGTTCCTGATATCAAAGAAAAATCCATGGTTTTGGTAGCATGAAAGCAATAATACAATTTCTTCAATAATTGAAGTAATTAGACAATTAGTAGATAATCTATTTCAGAAAGTTCAATTAATTCAATATGGACCCTCCAAATGCGGGATCCGCAAATGTAAGTAAGATCAATTGCAGTTATTTATTGTTTACTTGTGGGTTTGATGAACGCATATTAACTAAATAAAACAGCCAGATGAAATGCTTCAGCCTCCAGAACAGGTTCAAGTTGAACAACCTGCACCAATGAAAGATGAGGATATACACCAGGATGTAAAGAAAAGGACTGAAGCCAAGATGAGAAAGACTTCAGGGGTTACTACCACGACCATCGATTTGACGCCGAGTGAAGATTTGGATCTTTCTAATATCACAGAAAAGCCTCCACCAAGACAATCAGTTGATCCTACTTACAGAGGATGGAAAGAAGTTGGTAATTATGAAGACCAAGATGCTTTGACGGAGGAAGATGAGGCAACCGATTTGTTATCCCACAGTTCGTTTTTTGATACATACTTGCCGGCGGCTGCATATGGTGACTGGTATCATAATGTTGCATTTTTGATATTAGGTGGTACCTTGTCGTGGATTGTGGGATGGTTCAGATTTACGCTTGCGCCTGTTTTCTTCATCATGGTTGTTTTTGCAATTTTGTATCGAAGTTCTATTAAGAAATATAGAACGCTTTTGAGAGAAGAAGCGCAAAGAGAGTTTTCGATTAAATCAATTGAGGATGATTATGAAACTATAGACTGGCTTAACGTCTTTTTGGAAAAATTCTGGTACTTTTTGGAACCATCTGTTTCCCAAATTGTCTGCGAACAAGTTAATCCAATTTTGGCGTCATCACCTGCGCCAGCATTTATTAAGTCTTTATGGCTTGATAGTTTCACAGCTGGTACCAAGCCTCCACGTATTGATTGTGTCAAGACCTTGCCAGGTACTGATAGTGATGTTGTTGTCATGGATTGGGCCTGTTCGTTTACTCCTAACGCGTTAGCTGATTCTAACAATAAGCAGTTAAAGAATAGGGTCAATCAAAAAGTTATCGTTAAAGCTAATTTATTTGGTATTGATATTCCAGTGGCTGTTTCTGATGTTTCATTTAAGGTGTTCCTTAGAATAAGATTAAGAATGATGTCTTCATTTCCTCACGTTGAAACCGTTAATGTTTCTTTAATAGAGGCACCACAATTTGACTTCAACTGTAAGCTTCTCGGTGACACTATCTTCAATTGGGAAGTTTTAGCCATGCCGGGCTTATTGCCACTTATCCATCAAATGATCAAGAAGTATGCTGGTCCTATGGTTTTCTCTCCATTATCATTCCAATTAAATGTTCAACAATTATTAGCGGGTAATGGCTTAGATTCTGCTATTGGTATTTTAGCCATTTCAGCTCATTCTGCTAGAGGGTTAAAGGGCTTCAATTATCTTGGTAATACTTTAGATCCATACTTAACATTTGGATTCCAAAAGAAAGTTTTGGCTCAGACCTCAGTTAAGGATAACACATCCAGACCTGTATGGGACGAAACGGTTTATATTCCAGTCAAGTCTCTCTCAGAACCTTTATCTATTGCAGTTATTGACTTTAACGATATTAGAAAGGATAAACAAGTTGGTACTATCCAGTTTGATTTAGAAGCTTTGCGTGAGAATCCTGAACAACCTAATCTTTCAGGTGCTTTCGTTAGGAATAACAAGCCTGTTGGTGAACTACAATTCGGTATGCACTTCATGCCTACACTTGAACCTGAGCAACAAGCCGATGGTGCAATTATTCCACCTCCTGACTTGAATACTGGTATTGCAAGAATTGAAGTTTCTGGTGCAAGACACTTAAAGACTAAAGAAAAAGCTGCATCTACTTATGTTGAATTGTACTATAATAAGGACTTGTTGGTTACAACTTCTGTTGCAAAGAAAACTAACGATCCAGCATGGAATGCATCCTATGAAAAGATTGTTGGTAACCGTGCTAAGTCTAAGATCAAGGTTGTCGTGAAGAGTGATAAATCTAAGAAGACTTTAGGAAATGTCTTCATTACCTTGAATGAACTTATTGACGCAACGCAAGTTCAAGAGTCATGGTTTCCATTATCGAATGGGGGTGAAGTTCATATCCTGGCATCTTGGAAGTCTGTTGCTTTGACAGACGCTAGTGGCGCTGGTGGTTATACTCCTCCAAAGGGTGTTGTTAGAGTTAGTATTGACAGAGCTGAAGATATACGTAACTTAGAAAGAATTGGTAAGGTTGATCCATACGCTAGAGTCATGGTTAATGGTTTCCAAAGATGTAGAACAGCTGCAGCTGATTCCACGTTGAATCCAACTTGGAACGAAATTCATTACGTTACTGTTTCGTCTGCAAATCAGAAATTGACTCTCGAAGTCATGGATGTTGAATCTCGTTCTCCTGATCGTACTTTGGGATCTTTTGATGTTAAATTGAATGAAATTGTCAGTAAAAATGAAAAGGGTGAATACATTGAATATGTTGATAGTGAAAAGAGAGAATCTAAATTAATTCATAAAAAAGGTCCTAAGGGTACTCTTACTTATTCCTTATCGTTCTACCCAACCTTACCTGTAATGTCTTTAGAAGATATTAAGGAAGAGGAAGCTGATGCTGAAGAAGCTAGAAAAGAAGCCGAAGAAAAGGCTGCTAAGAATGCTGGCGAAGATGAAAAGACTAAGGTAGAAGAAGCAGACGTGGAAGAAAAGAACGCCGATGACAGCGAGTCCGATAATGGAGAAGGCGAAGAAGAAGAAGAAAATATTAGGGCCTCGAAGTTAAGATTGACTCTAGACGAGTTAGTTGAATACAAGAGCGGTGTCTTCATCTATGAGGTTATTGAAGGAAATGTTAACAAAGATGGCATTTACTTGCAAGTCTTCTTCGACAATCATGGCTACCACGATTACCGTACTCAAAAATTACTTAGGAAAGACAAGAAGATTGGTACAACTGGTGATGTCGTTATTAAGGAATTAGATGAGTCTCAAGCTTATTTCAGATTGACCAAAAATAAGGATGACAACAGGGCCGAAAAAGTACTTGCGGAACTTACTATCCCTACTATGGAATTGTTAAAGAACGCATATGATGCGCCATACACTATCAATGTTGATGGTGCTTCAAGCGGCTCTTTCAAGATTCAATGTTCTTGGATTCCAGTTATATACCAAACTGCAATTCCACCACAAGATTCTCATAACAACTCAGGTGTTGTTAGCATTGAGGTCTCCAATGCCGAGAATTTGATTTCGGCAGATAGAAACGGTAAGTCAGATCCATACGTCGCGTTATACTTGAACACTGATAAAGACAGTTTCTTCAAGACTAAGAAGATCAAGAGAACTCTCGAACCAGTCTGGAACGAAACTGGTAGTACGAAGGTCGCTAATATGTATGATTCCGTCGTAAAGGTTGTTTGTAATGATTGGGACATTGGTCCTGAAAAGGATGATCTCTTGGGTATTGGCCACATCAACTTATCTGAAATCTACGAAAACAATGGCGAGACTACTGAATTTACATGTCCTTTGACCACCGAAGAAGGTGGTGATGGTGGTACTGTTTACCTTAAGGGTTCTTTCAGACCAGAGTTTGTTTTGAATGTTTTTTCATCTGATTCTTCGAACATCGGTGATGCCTTTGGTACCGTTGGAAAAGGTGTAGGTGGTGTTGGTAAAGGTCTTGGTAAGGGTGTAGGTGGTGTCGGAAAGGGTGTCGGAAAGGGTGTTGGTGGAGTTGGTAAAGTATTCAAGAAAGGCTTACATTTAGGTAAATCTGAAGATGCTTAAACCATTTAGAAATCTTTTATTTCATTGACTATATTTATTTTGAGTAGTTGGTAGTGTTTTTTTATGTATTTATTGTAATCCTAAAGCTTTTTACTTATTACTGTAAAGGGAAGTCTAATTTTCACGTGATCTTTAATTTTTTTTTTTTTTTCTGTGCAAAATTTAACAGTGAAGATCCAGAGATGAGCTTTTCGATAGGAATAGTTGTTAGCTTAACAGAAGCACTGATTTAATTAAGCAAGGAATACACCCGCCATGGATATCTCTAAGCCTGTTGGTTCTGAAATTACATCTGTTGATTTCGGTGTATTGTCTGCCGACGAAATCAGAAGACTATCAGCAAAACAAATTACCAATCCAACTGTTTTTGATAACTTGGGACACCCAATTAACAGTGGTCTTTATGATTTAGCATTAGGTGCATTTCTTAGAAACTTATGTACTACGTGTGGATTAGATGAAAAGTTCTGTCCTGGACATCAAGGGCATATTGAATTGCCAGTACCAGTTTATAATCCTTTATTCTTCAATCAACTATACATATTCTTAAGATCGAGTTGTCTCTATTGTCACCATTTCAGATATAACTCATTGGAAGTACACCGCTATGAATGTAAGTTACGTTTAATTCAATACGGGTTGTTGCTCGAATGTATTGAATTAGATAACATGTTAATGAAGGGGGCCGAAAATAATGATGATGATGATGACGACGATGAAGGTTCGTCATCTAAGAATGCTGATCCAAGAGCTAAAAAGGAATTGCGTGAACGCCGTGAATTATTTGTCGACACCGCCATTGCCAAGGCCATTAGCGAGGGTAGAAGTAGTCAATTTGGTGTCATTACTGCTTCCGTTGGTGAAGAAAGAAAGGCTACAATTCATGAATTTTATAAAAAGTTATTGAGTAGACCAAAATGTGATAATTGTGGTATGTACTCTGCAACTTTCAGAAAAGATGGTTTCACCAAAATTTTCGAGAACGCATTAAAGGATAAGCAAGTTA